TTAGATATTTCCGCTCCAGCGTTCGTCTAAGCTTATTAACTGTATATGTACATGTGTATAATAGCACGCATCACTAAAAAGAAGTTGCGTTTTTTTCAAAGGAATTATAAAATCTTACTAATATTATAAATGTGAAAGTTTGTATGTTTGGATGTTTGGGAAATCATCACGCGGAAACGACTAACCGGATTTGCATGGAATTTTGTACACAGATAGCTTATGGGCCAGATTGGTTAATAGGCTATTTTTTTAAGAGTTGCTACCTGTTAAAAAAGTTTAATTTATTTAATATGCGGGAACGACTGAATGGATTTGCATGAAAATTTGCACAGAGATAGCTTATGACCTATGTTGGAAAATAGGCTACTATTTTAAGAGTTATTACGTATTACGAAAGTTTAATTAAATTAATACGCGTAAATGACTGAACTGATTTGCATGAAAGCTTGCACACAGATAGCTTATGACCTAGACTGGAAAATAAGCTACTTTTTTAAGAATTGCCACTTGTTTGAAAATGAAATTTTGCTCAAAGATGGTTTATGACCTGGAATGAAAAACAGGCTACTTCCTTAACCGGTTTTCCGATCAGAACGAAATTTAGTACACTTACTACGGATTTCGGAAGGATAGTGTTAGACTGAAAGTAAGTCCGATAACTCAAGGCCCCTCCCATACAAATTGGAATTTTCATATTACATACATATCTCTGGAAGTATTTGTGGGAGAGAACTGAAACTTGGTATAGTGATATCTATGTGAAATCAATGATGGCATTAATCGATTGATGTTTTAATAAGTTAGTTAATACGATTAAATTCAATCTGATTACAGTTAATCATGATTAATTTTAATCGTGACCGCGATTAAAAAATTAATTTTTAATCATTAACTCTTAATTTGATCAAGTAGGTTTGGTGATTAATTAAGTTATACTGGAATTTCCCTGTGCATACAAAGCAAGTTAATCCGGAATGGCTAAGTCGGGTTTCCTCAACCATCTAAGAAATTTGATGTGCATTTTCATTAAGATATATACCAACAAACGTTTTACAAACTAGGATTGTAAAAGTTCCCAGTTTATGTATTACTAATAAAAATAATTATAATTTTTTTATATTATGTGCTTTTTATAAGCGTAAAACACAAAATAATTACTATAACTGGTGTTTGGTTTCAAACTCGGACAAACTAGACAAATTAATCAGATTTTATTTATAATTGGATTAACGATTAATGTTTTAAAGTAATTAAACGTAATCGCAGCCAGCGATTAACGATTCAAAAAATGTTATCATTAATCGTACAGTTGATAACGACTAATTAATTTTAATCGTCAAACGCGATTAACATTTTAATCGGTCATTTTTAATCGTTAATCAGATTAACAGTTTGCTAACACTGTGTGAAATCAGGTTCATATTGACGGAGAAAAATGGACGTTTGTGGAAAAGAGGCGTAGCACCTCCCATACTGACTGAAAGTTTCATATTGCATATCCCTTCAAATGTTTGGGGTAAAGTACTCAAGGTTGGTATGGAAATACATATGTATGTATGTATGTGAAACTAATACCATACTCATGGAGAAAAATGAGAGTCATTGGAAAGGGTGATGTGGCAACTCCGTGCAAATGGATTTTTGTATGCTGCATATCTCTTGAGGTGTTTATTGCAGAGGATGGGAACTTGGCACCGAGATGTGTATACAAAATTAATTCCATACTCATGGAGAAAAATTTGCGTTATTCGAAAAGGGGGCATGGTACCTCCCGTACAAATTTACTTTTATACTGCATATCTCTAGAGGTGTTCATGGTAGAGTACTGGACTTGGTACTGGGATATGTAAAATCAATTCTAAATTCATGAAAGAACATTAGGGTTATAAGAAAAAGGGCGTGGCACTTTCTGTGCAAATTGACTTTTTCTTGTCACATATCCCTGGAAGTGTTTGTGGAAGAATACTGGAACTTGGTATGGAGTTGTGTATACAAAATGTTTCAATTGCTCATGGAAAAAATGTGAGTTATTAAAAAAGGAGGCATGTCGCCTCCCATACATATTAAAAATTTCTTAATACATATCTCTGGAAGGATAGAAAATCTTTGGAAGTATTTTAAATTTGTTATGGAGATTTATTTTATAAGTGCCGTACTGATAGAAAAAATTTCATTAAATGGAAAAGGGAGAGCCGGGTTCGGCCTTATAATCTAAAGCTCTCTTGAGGCATTTGCTACAGTAATGAGAAGTGGTATTTTATCAAGGCCAGGTTACTAAATTTGAGTTGGAAATATTAGAACCCGCTGTGGCACCTCCAAGAAGGTTACTTAGAGGGATTGATATCTTTCGTATGCCTAGCGCGCAGACGAGATTTTATAATTTCATAGTTTTAAACGGCCTAAATACCTCAACTCGCTTAAAAAATAACGAGCTATAACGAAATGGGCACAGAAATAAAATTTAACATCATTAAATTATTTTTTATATTTGTATAATGACGTTCGCCAAAATGTTTCGGAAAAATATTAAGATTCACCATTTTTATGCAGACCTCCTAACCTTAAGCTCTCCTATCATCTAAGATAATTTTTTAGAGCAAATATTTTTATGCCCCGGCCGCAGTTGTGCACAAGGGTATTATAACTTTGTTCACATAACGGTTGTTTGTAACAGACAAAACGAATCGAGATAGATATAGGCAAATGTATACATAAATGACCAGGATGAAAAAAGAAATCGAATAAGCGACGACTGTCTGTCCGTCCGTCCGTCGTCTGTGCGCACGATAACTCGAGTTAAAATTTAAATATCTTAACGAAACTTGGTATGTGTACTTTTATTCAGCGTAGGACGGATGGTATTGAAAATTGGCAAAATCAATCAAAATTGATATTTACAACACTTTTTAGACGAAAAATTAGAATATTGTAAATTTTTTGAAAATTGGCGTAGCCACGCCCACTTATGATTACATGTGTATATCTCGGTAACCGCTCCAACAATTTTTCCCAAACTTAGTACAACAACTAACGGACAATAACCACGCCCACATCACACATATAACGGTAATTTAGAGAAATACGCAATCTTCGATAAATCAGTAATCACCGAAGTTAATTTATTTAAAATTGATGTTTGCAATAATTCTTTAGCAAAAAATATTTTGAAAAAATGGGCGTGGCCCCGCTCACTTATGACCACATATGTATGTATATCTCGGTAACCGTTCGATCAATCGGTATGATTATTGTGCTTGCCGGGTATTTAGTGTTCGCTTCCGTTCGAATGTCGCAATGTCGCCTTTGAGGTAAATCTTTATATGTTTTCGAAATATTTTGGCGGAGTCTTTACTATGATAAATTGTATATTTCTCATGAAAAAAGTACCGATTTATTTTTTTGTATGAGAGTGGTGCACCTTAATCTATATATGTATCTATTCCTGTATCTTTAGCTGAAAGAAATGAATGAGTGCACAAATAAACCAGTTCTTAAATTGAAAACGAAGCGAAAGAGTTCGTTTTGCCAGCGTACAGAAATATGCAAAATTCAATTAAAATGGAAATAAGCTCTGAAAAGCGAGAAGTCGCTGAAAGTAAATATTCAGGAAATGTGCAATAGAAATTATAATACAGCAAATGTGTAATAAGTACTTAGTAAGGCAATTGAAATGGTAAAAAGAGAAAACTGCGTATTTTACATTTAAAGTTTCTTCTTTGCCCGAAAGTTGTTTGCATTAGGACCGTTTTAACTGGAAAATTAATGTTTTTCATTTTGATAAATGTAGAGGAGTTGTCTTACTAGGTAGATCATCTGAGTAGTTAAACACTTTTTATGAAACAGATTCTCAAAGTTACACAGTTCCACTCGCGCAGGCCTTGAGAGCTATTGGGTATCATGTATAAAAAGTCAGCTTAAGTTCAGACTAAAGTTTTGCACCAATGAAGTGATCTCAAACTTGTACTGAAACTCGAGTCGGAGCTTAAGCTCCCTTAAGGCCCGTTGTCTTCTGAGATCTGGGAAAGGAGGAGTTTAGCCGTTGCAGACTAAGTTTTGCCAGAGAAACGCAGGTCTCTCGAGGTAGCCCTTCTAAACTTTGGTGACGGCATTCACGGGGCCAGGGGTGGTAAAGGTGGTGATTCTTCTCAATTAATGGCTTGGCTTTGCTTGGCTGTATGTCCGATCCAATTGTTATTTCTGTTTCAAGCTAATATCTGTTCCACCTAAAATTTGTTGAAGAAGCGAGCAATCCTCTGCGCATTGGATCAGTGAAACTCGCCCCTATGGCTCACGAAACTTGAGAGTTTAAAGAGGAGTGGGAAAGGACACCACGCTGTTGGGCCCTATTTAATTAGTCCTTGTTTATAAGTTTAATCTCGAAAAAGTACTGACGACTGTCGAACATCCACGGCTTTAGTCCCTGTAGGAAAGAGGATGTCGCAATGTATGCTAGTGGCATGGAATAACAAACGGCGCCGAAGGCCTTTGGAAAGTTCAGCGCTACTGGGACAGTTCACTTACAGGGGAGGTTTCAGTTAAAGCCACGAATTATGCATCTGAGAGGTTACGGCGCTTAGTGTTGTTGATGGTGCTTGCTATGTTGATGTAGATAAAACACGAAAAATCAGCAAACAAAAGGGTCCTGAAGATATACTGAAAAAAAATTTTGATATTTCCTATGAAAAAGTACTCAAATTTCCGAAAATATTCCAACATCGAAAATCGTGAAAATTAAGAAAAAGTCTCGAAAGAGCACAGGTCAAAATCCCGTAAATATCCAGAGAAATGTCACCAAATTGCGAACCATTTACATTTTCATCAATGCCTGTAGAAAGGCAGCTATTACCGGTTCATCTTTGAATAAATTTGAGTACTTCAGATTTTTCAAATCTTTTCCAGATACCAAATGCGCGAACAATTGGGTTTTAGGGGTCCTATAAAAATAGTTAACAATGGCAAATGGTTAAATAAATAATTAATAATAAAATAACTTCACTTACCTAGCAGACTGAACAGATCGTTAGACGATGATTAGACCTAGAAAAGATAAATAAAATAAAATTTAAAAAATATATATATTTAGTCAAAAATGTCTTAAAAATTTTATAAATTTGAGTAACAACTAAGTGTCAATAAAATTAATGGCTGTGAATCGTATGTAGTAGAATTGATTAAATGATCGCTGACTGTCATTTTAGTGTTAAGAAGTTCTTGTATTACAATAATAATAACCCAATCACCCAAATAAGCTTAAATTAATTTCAATTCGGTTCATTCCCGATTAATTAAAGCTAATTTTCTAAGCATCTAGCAGCTAAGTTTCTGCTTGTCCGTACACAACTAAGCACGCACATAATGTTTACCTATTTACTACTAAGTCTCATCGCTTAAATAAGCATTTATCACTTCAAGCACTTGAGTTCATAGAAAATAGAGATAAAGTGAAGCGCACACAGCACACACGCATGCAGGCACATCACCCAGAAATACTTACCAAATGGATAACATTTAGACGTATCATTAATCAACATGTCATTATGTGTAAGTAACTTCATACGTGAGATTCTACGCAGGCATATGTATGTACATACATATGTCTATGTACATAATATTATCATAAAATGCATCGTAAAGTAAAAAAATTATAACTCGGTTATCTTTTGGAAGAGTGATTCTAATGAAGGAGGAAATTCCAGATGAAATTTTATCTGGGACACAGTATTCGCACTTCGTCAATCGTTGTTAGAGATGAATTACCTCCTCGTTAATGGAGACGCAGTTTCAATGGGAATGATTACACCACTTAGAAAATACAATCAATTCAATGTTGCTTAAAATCTGTCCATATGGTGCGAAAGTAATTGCTTACGGCGACCTGCAATTTCTACTGATTAAGTAGTATGCTACATCCTCAATCAACTGATACCTACCCGAAATAAAGCTGCATATGAGAATACATTTTGCACACTTCTCAAATATCACATTGCAGCTCTACATGACTTACAATCATGCAGAGGTTGTGACTGATGGTTACCATTGGCTACACATACCTAGCCACCTATTACACCGTGCGACAATAAATTTTACACCCAAAAAATTTTATATATTCGCGAACCCATGGGCCAAATATATTAAAACTGCGTTTGTAGTTATTCTCTCTGCCATCAGGATTTTTTTTTGAAGAACTTTGATATTTTGAAAAACATAATTACTTCAAAAAATTATTTTAAAAATTCAGTGCAATGTGGAAAAACAATATTACTATCAAATTAAAGAGAACAAAAAATATATGTTAGGGACTAATATGCACTCGACCACATTCTCAATTTCGAAAAGAACATTTTCAATACCTATTCGTCCTTATTATTAACCTGAATAGATTTTGCGTGTGGATACATACATTCACCTTGGTTTTCAACTCTCACTGAGTTATAGCGAATTAACCCATAGCCGCTATTGGCTCGGACTCTCTGGGAGCAAAAAGTTCTCTCTATCTCTCAGACTTCGCTAGTTTTTTTCAGCTACGTATGTATGTATAAGTTTTAGTTTTTGTAATTTTAGTTTTTGTAACAGTAAATCACGCCACCTACAGGGCTATTTATTTGGCCTTGACGTCTTTTGCAGGTGACCCGAAAGTGTCTAAAGATTTAAAACCTTGTTGAGTAGCATCTGTTTTCACCTCTCACCAGTATATATTTGTGGTCCTAACCCTCGAAACATCGCTGGAGCTAAGGCCGCAATAAATTAAACGGAAAGTGATCTTTTAGGTCGGAAAGTGGTAAGTGGATCTGAGCCCTAATAATATCAATAAAAGAAAACTTCAACTCCCTTTAGCTCAAACCGTACCACATTTGGATATCTTTTACTTATTTAAAGTCGCACAAAATTTTTGAAATTTAGCACATGAGGAAGAAAATTGCAACAATAATTTATTATAAAAAAACGCAAATGCTTTTTACTTTTTCATTTGTATTTAAGCCGGTTCTATTGTAAAAAAATCAAGCCACTAATGGTAAAAATCGATATCGTAGATGGCAGTACTTGTATGAGTAAAATAATCCATTTTAAAATTTCAATTTTTTTCATTCATAATGCAAACTTAAAATTAAAATATCTTGGGAAATTTGCCTTATATTTAAAAATGGTGTGCCGATCCGTAATCTACTACCCCAAATTAAATTAACGTGTCTCAGCGGCAAAACTGTGTACAAGTGGGTTTTTGTAAAATATTTGCAAGGTTTTGAAAGCTAAAATTTGTTTGTTATTTTTTTATAAAAATATGTTTGATGCTTTAACCAAAACCATAGAAATGAAACTTTCAATTTCTATAAAGAGCTTAGAAAAATTCGACAAATTTTCATCAAAACTTTCAACTTTTTAGACTGAATTTTTAGAAAATCTTCTTCTAATATATAAAAATCGCGTGTCACGGTGCTTGTGGTCAAACTCCTCCGAAACGGCTTGACCGATTTGTATAATTTAACACTAATTATTGGCAAATCTAGTGCTGCTAAATAAAAATGTGTAATATATTAAAGTGCACTTAATCAAAAGTTTTTTATTGTATATTCATGAATTCATTTCATTTTTTGACTCCCAAAGTACTGGTTTTGGTCCATAATTGGACTAGCATTTTTCTGTCAATTTTTAACTAGTATGATACTGGTTTATTTCTGACCGAAATCTGACAATTGCCATCTCGTAGGACATCCCCATGCTAAAAATACCAGTTGATTGCATGGAAAAAAGATAGTTGGCTGACTAGTTGGGCATGCGGTTCATACTAGTTGTGAGGTAGTTTAAAACTTGCACATATGACTACAGGGAGCTAGTACCGCCCTAAAACACTTCAGTACAGATATATCAATAAACGAGTACAAAAGAAAAGGAACCCATTCGCTTATAAATAAACATGTACACAACACATTCAAAGAAAACGGCATTCACGTACATAAACCTACACAAAAACCGTACTAGACTGTCTCGCTTCGATTTCGGAATGCTTACAGATTGGGAAGTTAACTAACTGCCAATGTAGAAGTATAACATATATGGTCCCAGCACCTTAATCAGTGCAATTATATTCCTACCTCAGAGAGCCGTAAGGTTCGTTGGTTGGTAAGAGTGGTTTGTTACCCTTTTGAGAAGCTGTTACGAATTCTATTTATAGACATTTTGAAACCACAATCTTGTACAAACCTACAGCCCCTTGGGGTTTTTATGAATTTCAGCCGCTAGGGGCTGTTCTCACTTCCTCCTTGCAGTAATCAACCCGCGAGGAGCGTTGGATCTGGACTGACCGGTAGGGAGCTGCAGCGAGGGTACTGTGACTTATTCGGTTTAAGAGCTCACTGAAGTTAGCAGCGTCAAAAGCGATTAAAATGTAAAAGAAATTACTATGGAAATATGTGTTGTTGTTTTCTTTTAGCGCAACCCATCGTCTTGAATGAAAATAAAGTTTACCTTATTAAAGTAAAAGACGTTTCATGCAACTAAGCTGATAAACAAAGAAAGCTCGTTATAAAAAGGACTAAAAATCCTAAGCGGATCACCTTAGTTTTATATACATACATATGTATATATATGTATAATTACATCCCTGCGCATGTAAATATGTGTATGAATTAAGAGCTGCAATGGGTGAATATATATATATACATATACATATATATATATATATATATATATATATTCAATGTACAACATAAACATGTGCTCTTACGTACATGACTACACGCCACTGCAATTTGGTTCAACACTAGCAAGGCGCATCATCAATAACACAAATTAATTTCATGTTTCAGTTGTTGCTACGACTGTTGCACTCGTTATACACACATTAGTTTAATTACCTGTGTACGTGTGTTGAATAAATAATATTCGTAAGCATTCCCAGTAGAAAAAATAATTAAAAAGCAATTGTCGAAAGCCAACTCTGGAATTTGGAGGGCCTTAATCGTCTCCATAATTTCCTGAATTACTTTTTATATGAAACAGGCCCTATTGCAAGTCATTACCTTTCCGTTTTCGGAAGAACAGGTCATACATAGAAGGACTTAGTTTTAACTATTTTTTTTTCATTTGAATACGGTTTTGCTCTGAACTTCACATATGATTTTTCGTAGTTAAAAAAAAAAGCAATAACCAAAACGGAAAAATTATACATTGGGTTTAACGGTAATCAAAACCGGTCACTCCAGAAAGCTAACAAATTTATATATACTTTAAAAATAAAGATTTTCAAAAACCTTTTGATTGATACCCAAATTGTAATAATTAGTTTAACAGATTAAATAATTTGAATTTAATTTAAATTTTAAACAAAAATACTCTAAAAGCTCAAACAAAAGATTTGTTATTTTTGCTTTTGACACCCACATATCAATACATATTAGTTTCATTTAACTTGTGTTTGATTAAATTAAATTTCAGTTTTCATTCTAGCGACTATTTCTCTGCCGATTATTTTTCGATTTTTAGTTTTTGGTGGATTACGTTCCAGTATTTAAAGTAGTTTCATGTCCACTAGCAACAGAGTGCAAAATCTTTTTATATTCTGAAAAAAAAGGATCAAATGTTAAGTCTTCTTCCAAAAGTCGCTAGCATACTTATTTATAAACATTCAAAAGTATCCATCTTCTGATAAACTTAGAAAACTGCTTTAGGTCGTATAGACTGTTAATGTTATCTTATGACATGTTATGTTATGTTACAATTTTATAAGGCTCTTATTTATCCAAATTTTCAGGTAATAATAAAAAAGATTCAATTTAAATGTTACTTGTTGTCGTCGTGTTTTTTTTTCAAATTTATGGCTTTCTATTATAAAATCACATAACGCTGTTTGCAAGTGGACTACTCCTATATGGTTTTGGTTAAAGCATGAAGCATTTTTTAACAGACTTAAAAAAGGGGGGAGGTTATCAATTCGTCGGAATATATATTTTTTTTTATGTACATATGTTACCGCATAACTTTGGACCACGTCGACCGATTTTTATAATTCTTTTTCTATCGGAAAAGTGTTACCAGGGGGT